GTGCACATTTTGCTGAGAGCAAAAGTTCTGGAAGGAACTGTTGGACTGAATGGTTCTACAGTTGGTGCTGTGGTGGCTAGAACTCGAATAATTGATAAAACTCCCAACAGGCACATTAAATCTTCAGAATAGAGTGGGATACAAATAAAGAAGCAAAATGTAAGTAAATAAATAAACAGCCAGGCTGCTCAATACTGGGTGGGAATGCTCAAATATCATTAAAATGAATTCAGACAATGTTAAAATTAATTAATGGTGGTAATCTGGAAAACCACCAGGCCCAGGACTAGATATCTTATAGCTGCATTAAGTGATAGATAAACATCTCATTGAAAAGCTGAGGACTGGCAGGCACCTATAGGACTTCAGACACCAACAACTGAGCTGTGCCATCTTGAGCATGTCACTTAACCTCTCTGAATATCATATTTTTCATGATATGTCTAAAGAGTTAGAGCTAAAATTTTTATTTTGTACTTGTTCATTCTCAAACGTATGTATAGACAAATGTCTGTAAATGGATATTCATAGATATCTGATAAATGTGTTGAATCAATAACCCTAGACACTATTTTTGAGTGCTTAAGATGTATTAGATTTTCCTATTAAGTGCTTTATCTGTATGAATAGTATCATTGAATTCTCTCAGTAAGCCTGGGAATTAGCTGCCCTCTGCTCCGTTTGACCAAGAAGCAATTGAGGCTATTGCCTAAAATGACAGAGGGCCAGGATCTGATTCCAGGTGTTCCTCATTCCAAAGTCCCACCCACTTTCTGCTACACTATACCAGTGCTTCTTAGACTTTAGTATGCATCAGAGTCACCCAGACTAAGGCTTCCTAAAACAGATGTTTGGGACCCAACCCAAGAGCTTCCAGTTCTTACAAGTTCCCTGGCAACGCTGATACTGCTCTTCTGGGGTCACATTTGAGAACCACTACATTGTGCTCTTAAGAGCTCCCAGTGCAGGACCAAGACACAGCGAATATAAGAAGCAGATCCCCTGGGCAAATTAAGAAGACCTTTTACCTTTGGAGCCACTCAACTGCTCAGCGGGGTTGCCTCTTGGGAACTGTTATGATGTTGGAGGCACAGAGATCTTAGGACATTTGATGAGAAGTTGGCCTAAAGAACCTTTAAGGTCCCTTCTCACAACTGTCATGCATGCCAAAAACAAGCTTCCGAGAGGCCAGGAGGGATACCCCTACTGCCCCTGCAGGGGATCCTTCTCCTTATGGCCAATACTCAATGTTTTAATTGTGTTTGAAGATCTAGAGTCACTTAGGGAAATCCTGAGAAAAACGTTTCTTTAATTTAGGTAACATGGAATTACAGTTTAATGAAACACCACACGAGGAACAAAAAGAATTTAAAGAACATATTCATTCACTGCAAATTTATATTTCAGATTTTTATATTTCTATGACAACAGTGATAGAATTTCAGATTTTTAAATCATAGCATGTAACTTGGAAAAAACAAGGTTAATAATCCAAAAGGGCTGAAGTGTGCAATTATTCCATTTTTATTTTTTAGGAACATAGAGGAAGAAGTTTAAAGATCAGAACTACTTTGCAAACATTTCAGGATAATGACCACAATAGAACAAATTTAAGAGGAACATTGCTTCAAATTTATTGTCCATTCTTTTGACCCTAGAAAGAAAAAAAAGAAAAAAGTAGTGTTTATTTCTACAATTTATCAAAGAAAATAAAATGTCACTTCTGACATTTAATTTGGCCCTTTTTATGTCACAGGGACCCAGTGAAGGATGACTCAAGTAACAGCATTGTGGTACCACTTAAGGATTTAAGAGGAACCACCAGAGAGGACAAAATTGGTGATGCTGGGGTGGAGGAATGGCAGAAAGATATAAAAAAGAAATACACGTGTAATAAATATCTGGCATAAGCATAAAACACTCCAGAAGAACCATTGCGTTTGTGGGCAGGGCTGCCTACGCAGTGAGGAATCTCTGTTGAGGATCTCTTTTGGTCACTTGCTGTTTGTTTTGTCTGGTTTGGGGATTTTCAAAAATTAAGAGAAGGTTAAAGGGCACTTTCTGAAATCTTTGAATGAGAGCCAAGAATTTAAATTTGATTAGAAGCAAGGGCAAGATAGCAAACATGTCTTGAGTACCTATCAAGGGCCAAGCCCGGCTCTTAAGAGTAATGATATCATTTCATTTTGCAACGTGTGAGGTAGGTGTTATCTATCTTTTACAAATGAAGAGTCTTGGGCCCAGAGAGGCTCAGAATTGACTTGCTCAAAGCTACTCAGATGGTAGGTGATAGAAGAAACAATTGGCCCTCAAACTGTCTCACTTCAAAAGCACCTGACATTTCAGGCTCCCCATGTGTCATCAACACTGCTGAAAGCAATTCTTCTACCCCTTGGTATGGAGATTCTAATCTACTTCAACTCGGTATTCTTCTTGGGTGTCATAACCATACTAAATTCTCCCATGACATGGGAATTGTTTTTAAATTTGAAATATTTCTGCTGTAGGTTTAGGTAAGATATTTAACTATGGCTATGAAGACATGAAAATGACACCTAGTATTGTGACCTGCTACTCTGCCACTTTCGACTTACACACTCCCAGTCCCACCTTCCGTGCTTACCGTAGACAGTCCCTGTCCTCAAGGAGCTCACATTCTTGGGCGGGTGCTGAATATATGTGGGTGTCACCTACAGAGATTTGACTGTGTCCTGAGCTTAAGGAGGAGCCACAGGGGATGTAAAGCAGGGGAGGAATAAGAGCAGATTCCAACTCTAGAGAGCTCATACCACAGCCTGTGTGGAGGATACTTTTTAAGAAAAACAAGACTGGAAGCAAAGAAGTCTGAGTGAGAGGAGATGGAGGGGCTGACTCAGGGCCATTACTGTCAGGACAGAGAAAGGGGGACACAATGGAGAAATATTTAAGAGGTGCAGTTTTCAGGATCTAGTGATATACTTACGCGAGTTAAGGATGACTGTAGGTCTTGGACTTGTCCTCAGTGTCATGAGTGCTGGCAACTGAACTGGAAATATAGGAAGAAGAGCAGGTGTCAGGGACAAGGAGATGATCAACTTCATTATGAACATCTTGTGTTTCATGTGTCTTTGGAACACCCATGAGAGTAAGCAGAAAAGAGTCAGATGTAGCGCTCATTAGAGCAGGAGAGGGGGCTGGGCTACTGCAGACTGATTGTGTGAGGCATCACCTCCAAGGGGGTAACTGAATCCAGTAGTTTTTAAGGGGTGAGCAAAGTAAAGGAGACTTCAGAGGAGACAAAGGAGGGAATCCATGGAGAAGGACAAGCCCCAAAGTAAATGGTGTATGGAAGTCAAAAGGGAGGGGACTTCATAGAGAAAGTGGTTAATAGTTTAAAAGACTGTGAAAAGGTCAAGGAAGATGTGGATTAAAAAGCCCTCTGGGCTTGGCTGTCTATAGGTCATTCATGGGCAACCTCTGCCATGGGAGATTCAACAAAAGAAAAGAAATGAATAAGTTGTTAAATAAATATGGCCTACACTGAAACTTTCTTATAGCCCATGCCTATTAACACTAGGTTTATGATGAACTCAAAGTAAAGCATCATTTGTATCTGATCTGTGACAAACTAAAGCCATGGAGTGTTGAATGGTAAGCTTCAGCACCTCACTGGCTAGAATCCCAGGCAGAAAGCCTCTGATTTCTTCTATTAAGCTCTTAAAATGGCTTTTTATTAATGATGAGATGTGAAACTCTTTTTGCAAATATGCTAAAGTAAGGTCCTTACTTATTCAATAATATAATAATAAGTTTTTAAAAAGACACCCAAGAAGATAATTCTGGTTGGTTTGATAAGACTGATGGAATATTGAGCAAGGAAAGGTGTTCTTCTAAAGTGGGTAAAGTGATCTGTGAATCTGTGTCAACTCTTATGTCTTGTTTGAGTAACATTGCTGGTGTATATTACTTCTTGAGCTAGCATACTAAGGCCATGTGGTGACATATCAGTGTGGCTTCGGACAGATAATATTGTCAAATGGTTTTATTTCAAAATCACAGACTGAGACAGACAGGTATGGAAAGATCTTTGGAGGGGCCAAGCCATGTGGTCCTAGAGATGAGGAAGCTCAAGTCCACAACTACTGGTGTGTGCAGGGGTGAGCTAACTGCTGTCACACCCACGTCCCGCCAGCTCTTAGAGCTCATCTGGGAGAGGAAGTGTCACTGCGGCATTCCTCACCTCCCGTACCCTCCATTGTGTTTCACCTGAATTACTTTCTCTGTTTCTTTCCCTTCTTTCCTGGGGGAGTGGACACAGGCATCCAATCATAGCCATCAAGTATTCTCCTCTTCAATAAAATTTTAAGTATCCAGCCAACATTGCTACCTTCCTAAATGGGTTTGTATTCATGTATTAGCACCATTATAGTCATTTTGAAATATTCACTAGTATAATTCATTTTTATTTGTTGAAAACTGAATTTATATGATTATAGAGAATGAAGGCTTCTGATTTCTACTTGTTTCTGCCCTTTTATGAAACAAAATTTTCTTCTTTGTTTTAAATACATTTGTTTCATTATAACAGTTAAAATTTGTTTAAAAATACATTCATAGTAATAACATTTTAGATTAAGAGTAGGGAACAAGGAAAAATACACCACTAGGAAATTTTATATTAAAAGATTATATTGACTGCATGTCAAAAGGAGAATATCTTGAAGCTCACAATAATGTATGAAGTAAAAATTGGCCAAAAGCAGTTCTCAGATTACTGACTCCTCCCTAACTACTGGTCCCTCTTTGACAAAATACCTAGTTTATTTTAATACATTACAAAAGACACTTTAATCTCATTTCCTCTCTTAGCAAATTGCTATCACCCTTGGCACAGTCCCACTGATGAAATGAAATGAAAATATCCTGGAAAAAATAGTTTCCATTTCTAAAATATGAGTTATTTTTTGCCTGTGAGAATCTAAGTAAGACTGTCCATGAAAAGCATGACTGTGCAAAGTCCCTCAGAGGGTGTAAAACTGGAGGTACACCACCTTGAGATGTGGCGCAGTGGCAAGGAACCTGGCCTCTGGACCCCGGGTGACCTGGGAGCAAATCCTGACTCCACACAGTTGGCCCAGTGTCCTCATCTATGCAATGGGGAGAACGAGCTGACAGGAGGTAAAGTGCCTGACAAATAGTAGCTGCCCAATAAACAGCACCTGCAATTATTCTCCTCTTACCCAGTTTTAGCTCACTATTATTATTCCAGAGAAAATAAAGAGTGAAAAAGAATGGCAGTGCCCTGAATTGAGATTATTTCTCTAGATTCTGATTTTTCTACTGACCAATTTGAGGAGACCATGTAACGGAATTTGTGAGGGAACTGTACAGCGGGTCTTACTGTTGTGTGGCCCTGCTTGAGACTTACTTGAATCTGCCCGAAGGGATTTAGTTCCCAGAAACCCCAGAAAGGCCTTGCTATAGCGAACATGAGGCTTCAGACCTTTAGGATGAGAGTCATAGTTGGATTTGTTTCAAAACACATTTCTGTGGCTAATGATGTAGGTAGGGTATGTCTGCTGGGAGATTTGGAGCCAGTATGTTGCTGCTAATTTGTTTTTTGCTTGGAGGAGGAGGATCCTCCACCCAAATATTCTGTCCCCAGTATGTTTTTGAACTTTATTTAAAGGGCTTACCCATTTTTCAATGCATTGAAACACCCCCCACTGGTCACGTGATAAAGGGGGAAATATTTTCTTTCCCCATTCCCCCTTTCATTAAAGAAAAACAAAACAAAACAAAAAAACCAATCATAACAACAAATAATGCAAGGGAAGCAGATGAAGCCATCCCATTCCGTGGAGGAGGGGCGGCATGGCTGCAGGAGACAGCTGCAGGAGACGGCTGCAGTCTCTGCCGTCCTGACGCTTTCCTTTCCCATCACGTTATTACCGTTGGACCAGGAATGCAGTCAATCTCGGCTATGGTTATTTTGCCTTGAAGTTTCTTGTCTTAATTCTGCATTGTGCTCGTTTGCCCCCTGCACATAGTTCTAAGCTAACAGGATCACTTCAGCCTGTTGTGTGGAGCCACCCAAGCAGGGGCTCTTATTCCTTTGCCAGCTCCTTGCCTTCCCACAAGGCCCTTGACATTGGAAGGGCTCACTGGCTTAGTCACTTAGGTTTACCATATCGAACTACCATAGACTGGGTGGTTTAAACAGCAAATATTTCTCATAGTTCTGGAGGCTGGAAGCCCAAGACCAAGGTGTCAACAGATTCAGTGTCTGGGAAGATCCCTCCTCCTAGTTTGCAGATAGCCACCTTCTTGCTGTATTCTCACACGGTAGAGAAAGAGAGAACTCTGGTCTCTTTCTCTTCTTCTAAGGGCACAAACCCCATCAGGGGGGGCTTCATCTACATGGTCTCATATAAACTTAATGCCTTCCCAAGGCCTCACCTCCTTATGTTATCATAGTGGGGTTTAGGACTTCAGCATAAGAACTTCGGATACAACACAAACATTCTATCTGTGGTACTCACACAATGCCTTTGGAGTGTTTATCAGCGTCATCAAACCCCCTGTGCCCCTTCCAAACATTTCTCACTGTGGGTTTGGCTGGGTAACAGTTGACTGCCTGCTCACACACCATCACTGTGTCACCTTCAACAGGATGCAATTGACTGTTTGTGTCTCCCTGCACAAATCCATATGTTGGAGCCCTCATCCCCACTATCATGGTATTTGGAGAGGAATCATTTGGGAGGTAACTAAATTTAGATGATGTCATGAGGGTGAGGCTTCATGACGGGATTAGTGCCCTTCTGAGAAGAGGTGACAGAGGGAACTTCTTTCTAAGAGAAGGTATAAGAAAGCCATGTGAGCACAGTGAGTGGCCATCAAGACACAAGAAAGTCCTCACCAAAACACAACTGGCCTGGCACCTTGACCTTGGACTTCCAGCCTCTAGAACTGTGAGGAAAAATGTCTGTTGGTTAAGTCACCCAGTCTGCAGTGTTTTGTACCAGTTGTTGAGGACTGGGACACAAGATGATTTCAATTCTACTAAACTGAAAAGGCACAGAGAAGAAAGAAATAATGAATGTGGTGATTCCTAAGGGGGTGCTTGACTCATTTCTGATGTGTTTTTGAGCTTACAGAGAAAATTCTTAGAAGTGGATATTTTCCATCATAGTATTGACTATTAAATATGGATGTAAAAAAATTTGTTCTACAATACCATTCAGCTACAATTTCCCCCACATCTTCCTTCAACCCATTTTTTTTTCATTTTTACAAACTTTAATAGCTCTTGAGTTTCCTGATATGTACTATATTTACATAAGAAAATTCTAATTTTCAGGCAGACCCTTAAAACTGCATCTTTTAAAAGCATTGTCAGTGTTTTGTTTATGTATGAAAGAAGTACGCTATTTTAAAAAGTGTATTATAGCTTTTAATAAAATTTTAAAAATATTATTCATCCCTTTTAGTATGCAGGGAATCTAACAACATAACTATACTGGGGTTCATTAATTGTAGAATCACTATGTAGAATGTTGCAACCCAATAAACGATCCACCTTTCCTTCTAAGAAAGTTGTGTGTTTTCTAGATTTTGATAAAGAACACATTTATTTCATCACAGGAAATTGTGCCAAATATAGCTGAGGTTTCTACATGGTAGCAGAGCTTTGCTCAAGCTGCCTGTGCTGCCTGTGGGCTCAGGGCAGTGGTGTATTAATTCATACAGAACATCATATCCCAGTATGTGAGCTATGAATCCTTGCTAATGAAACATGCTCTGCCACCATTATGGAATAAGTGGTGTCAAGTCATCTAAAAACTCTCACCAAAGACATACTGCTTATTCAATTTATCAACAGCACGTATCCAAACTAGTACAGCATTTGATGTAGGTGGAAAACTTATTCTATTCATGAGAGAATCTTATGCTTGGAAAAGAATTTTCATCAGAACCTCTTGTAGCTCTTTAAAAATGCACACTCCCAGCCTCCCACCCCAGAGTTTCTGACATAGTAGGAATGGGCCAACATAGGATATAGAAATCTTGTTTAACAAAAACCGTGGGTGATTCTGATGTCGTTGATCCACTTTGAGAAACATGCTGTAGTTGGGATGGGTTCTATTCCTAGTTTATAAATCATATACCAAGAAACTGTGTTCTGAGCAGGCTAGGCAGAGGCAAAACTCTGAAGCTGGAAACCCTGCTCTGTTTTCAATTAATGTTCTCTCTCCAAGCCCTTTAGTTGGCCTCACTATTGGGTTTCCATCGGTCTGGCTTACCAAGCTATGCATATATTTTTCACCCTTTTCTCCCTGCCCTCCACCCTATGTTAACCTAGATGCTCTGGGTGTCATGTCTAAGATGAAAGTCAGATGTCTAATTAACTATCTGTGCTGAGGGGTTATGACTGCCAGTGATGTAATGTGTGGTTCCTCCAGGCATATATTCCTTTTAACAAAAGGTTCTAGGAAGTTGGGATGTCCTCCACAAGGAAGCAATCTCAAATACTAAACTTCTAGATACCCTGGTAGTACAGCAGGGGAGGTCATTTTAGTCTGCCTGCCTCAGCTCTCAGCAGGCCTCCTTCTGAAATCAACTCTGTTCCTAGGAATGTACAAGATTACTGTTGCAGCCTTATGCAGAAGTTGAAGAGGACGCGACTGACCACAAAGCCATTGAGAATGCCAGATTTTTGTCTTCCAGCTTTGCTGGTTGTTTGAATCAAACTGGAAAAGAAGTGGGCCAACCACAACCCAAATTCACCTGACCCTTATATAATACTAACTGAAATCAGAAAGCCAGTGTAAGAGTCTGCAGTGGGAAATACTCCTTTCCAGAGGGAGGTTGTCAGCCCACAAAGGAGTGACCCGGTATCAGAAATCTGTGCTGTTCTCCCAGTGAACCTGCTCCAATCCTCCTGGAGGCCAGAGCCATGTGTCTAAATGGTCCAGCAGAGGAAAGTGTGCAGAGTGGGTGGTGAGGGCACCCAGATAAATCTGGCCTGATTAAGATAAGTAGCTCTGGGTTCTGAATCTGGTCCTACTACTCATTAGCTGTCTGACCTTGGGCAAGTTTATATGTGCTTTAGCCTCAGTTTACCATCTGTAAAATGGGAAGCACACTGACACATAGTAAATACTGAGTTCATATTTCTATCACTACCATATCATTAATGTTGTATCAGCCCTCCTGGGAAATTTTAGAATGCTAAATTTGATGCTGCTGGCATACATCAACATCTCTACTAGGGCAGGAGTAGAAAGAGTAGGGGAATTTGGTTATACAAGACACAGTAATAAATAAGGCAGATTATGTATTAATATTCTAGACTTTTCATTTTAGCATTCAGGGGAGAACAAGAACTGGCTCCCTCTTTCTGGAGACTTACATTTATGTGTCCATTCTAGATGAGCCGCACAGAAAGCTTGCTGAGCGTTGTCAGGCACACACAGAACACAGCAAAACTCAGGCACAGGCCAAAGGCCTGAAGTGCCAGATGGACTCTTCACAGTGCAGTGGGTCCCCACAAACTGGTGGGAATTTTGCATGTGGAAACGGAAAGGCAACTGCATAACCAAGGTAATTGGTCCCCACAGTTTCTAAGAATGAGTGGAAGCAGTACGGGCTGAGAAGGCCAGATTCCAAGCCATGCAAACTGAAGTAGGCATCCCGTAATGCTCAGAACCAAGAAGGTGAAGCCAGCTTCCCACAGAAAATAAAACAGAAGAGTAAACTGTTAAAGAATAAATTGTTACTTTGGGAACTAAATTTTTCAAAAGCTTTTTAGTGATATGAAGAACGAGATGCTGGGCGTTAACCTCTGGGAAGTGACGGAGAAACGGGTTACAACTTTCTCTTCAGGCCCTTTTGTCCTCTTCGATCCACACAAGGAGAATAACATCAGCCAACTGGGCAGAAATGAAATCCATTCCATTCGACAAAAGTTTATTTATTCACCTCTTATCATGTGTGGAGAACCAGTCTGGACTGGGAAAAAACAAAGATGAGAAAAGGGAATTCCGGCCTTAGTCCAGGGCCTTGCTAATCAGGGTGTGGCCCATGGTCCAGCAGCGCTGACTCCCCTGGGGGCTTGTTAGAAATGCAGGCTCTCAGGCCTTACCCAGATCTGCAGCGTCAGAATGTGCACTTTAGCCAGGTGAGGTCACACCTGCGTTTAAGCCTGAGGGGCCTTGGGGTAGCCATGGGAAGACCTATAACCAGATCAAGGGAGCCTTCATGGGATTAGAGCCATGGGATTACTTGGCTCTGTACTGCTGAAATGCAAGATATCACAGACAACTCATTCTTTTTTAGGGGGAGTGGTAGCAAGGAGATTCAAGGGAGACTTCAGATTGAAGAGTTGAGACTTGAGAATATGCTATTAAGAACAGAGGAACCCATCGATCCATTTCTTCAAAGTGAAATTTAGGAGCACTCACACTGGTTCTGTCCTCCCCAAGTTTCAATATGTAAATACCTGCGAGAAGTACAGGAACTTGTAGAAAATGTTTTGAGCAGGAATCAGATGAACATCATTCATTTAAAACATAGTTGATTGCCAAAATCCATTTTAGAGTAAGGCATCAGTTAGAATTCAGTTATAATCGGAAATCACATTCTCTATGTTCCATCCTGAACTGGCAGAGATTTGACCTTCAAACCCACTCTACCTTCCTATGTGTTTACCAGGTATCTCTGGGTCCACTAGCTGTGAGCCGACAGAAGTACCAGTAGTGATGGCCTGTGAAAGGAAAATGGAGAAATAATATCCATGACAGAAGATACCTCCGCAGAGTTCAACCTGTCTCACAGTTTGACAACTTTTTCACAAATTAGAAGCAACAGCAAATGGCTAAATGGATTTATGGCTCTGATCTCCTCTTCATCCGTGATGCCAATGAGAAAAAGAAGCCATAGGGGTCACAAAGATGTGATTCATACAAGCTCAATTTTTGATTTTCTGTGTTGCCATGACAATTATAACCTTCCCTACTTCAAAGTGTCACTACAATAAAGGCTTGGCTTTATAACCTTTGCCATATGTTTTATTTTGACTAATTGTCTATTGTTCATCTTTCTCACAAATTGCTAAAATTCTAAGTGGGAGGCCCTGGAGTGGAAATGTGTCACAGAACCCTGAAAACCCTTCTGGCAGCAGTATTATTTTACAATTTGCTTTCTTTAGAGATTCTGCAGCCTCAGCCTGCTGGTGGGATACAAATGGCGATCCTTGTTTGTTTCTCAAGTAACAAAGATTATCATTAGAATGAATGTGTGAAGGGCCAATTATTGGTCTGGGTGCAGTGGTGTCCAGCTTCTCAAAAGAGGGTTCTTTACAGTCTCTGCAGACCAGAAAACACCCCCAAGTGTGGAGCGAAAATAGTTAAAGGAGGGAAGGGTGACACAGAATGGAGGAATAGATAATGAAAAAAAAATTGGGGGCTCATCTTTGATTTGGTACTGGGTCTGATGAAGGAGACTTTTGTGGTCATTGAGCCTGTAAATTACTTATTCCCAGCCCATAAATCATGTGTTCGTGATCAAGGAATATTTTGAGGTTGACCAGGGAGAGAGATGTGCCTGAAACAAGATACAGAATGAGGACAGGACTAAAAATAGTTACAATTTAGGTTTTTGAGAGAGAAATAAACATGACTGTCTATATAGTAGCAACAAATTTAAGGAAATAATCAGAGCTTTGACCAATACAGTTTTGTGGTTTTGCTGCCTTTGTGGCTCCGGATTTGACCTATTTATTGTTTTGAGACCTAGCTTTTCATTTTCCTGGCATATTTTATTTTGAATATTGGACTTACAGCATTTGAGAGAGAGGTGGGAGAAGCACACCCTTGTAAACTCACACCGAACTTCTCATGTAGCTAAGCCTGAAATTCCAGACGTGGCATCGCCGCCATACCGTAAAACTCCCATGGATAAAAACAGAACCATCTGTAGTTAAAGGTGGCTGGCTTGATTCTGCAGGAGGAGTTTCCAAGGGACCATGTGGAGGGTGAGCCAGCATAAATAGTACCACAAAACAGGAGAATTATTAAGAGCAACTGTGACACTGGTGTGAAGCTTGGGGCCAGTCTGTGCTTTCAGCGGCAAGGCGCTCAACTGACAGGTCACTTCTCTGTGAGACACTGAAGCGAACTCGATAAAAGCAAAGGAGCCGTCTCTCTGCTGGTTTAACTCCAAGCAGACAGCTGACATTATCAGATGCTGAGATTTCAGGTTGCCTTAACTACTTTGGCATGAACCGTTTCTTTCCTTTCAAAAGTTGAAAAATGCTACAGAATTGAAGTTGCCTGTTATTTCTGTTGTAGCTGCCAGTTTGAATATGGCTTTGTTTACACAAAACTTTGAAAAAGATCTTTCATGGAAGGGGCTGACATATGAATGCCACTCAGTAACTTGTTAAATTCACCCTGGGGACGGTGCCTCACCCAGCTTTACTGGTGCCCCCTGGCTGCACATGGTAGAGGGTCAGCCTTCACCTTTTCTTGATTTCATTCTTTTTTCCAAGTTCTATGTTTAGAGATAGAAAAGGAACACAACTTTTAAAAAAGGAAGAGATTTGAGGGTAAAGAAAAGAAGTCAAGTGGGAAAAGGAAATGTGAGGGCTCCTGAGAGGTGAGAAGTCGGGCAAGAAGGCAGTCAGGCTGCTAGAAGGACGGAGCAGGCTGGGCCTGGGGAGGCTGTGGGAACAGAGGAGACCTAGCGCATCCAGGCGCATCCTGTGTTCTCCCTTAGCTCCTCTGACAAGCCATTGGCTTGCTCTGTGGGCGGTTCCAGGAACAGCTTGGGGTTTGCAGCAGTTGCTGCTGATACTCTAACTACATGAAAACTGTGATCCTCCCACTCAATCTCTAATTTGCCCAAGTAAAGGATCCAGTTTCCAGAAGCAGATGAATTGAAGGAAGCAGGGGAGAGTCACAACAGAAATAGAAACTTTTAGAGGAATCATTTTAATATGGGATCCGGTTTTCCCCAAGGTGACTCATTTATTCACTTAAACAAACATCTATTGTGGTTCTACTCCAAACAAGGGTTCTGATCGGCACAATGCAAGTAGGATGTTGATAATAACAGTTAACACTTACTGAGTCCTTACTCTATGCCAGGCACTATATTGAACACTTTATGTGCGTTAACTCATTTAACTCTCATAATGGCCCTATATGTAGATCTTCTTTTTAAGTGAGACTCAGAGAAGCTACCTGTTAATCCCTCTCCTCCGACACCAAATGCAATGGTGCACTTTTTCCTTACATATATGTATAACAGTAACAATATTATACACAGCAGTAATACTAGTATAACTCTATTTGGGTTCCCAGACCAAATTCCAATGTGTGTAAGTATATGGGAGGGAGGTCTTCCCACACATACTAACACCAAGCAATTCTCAAACACCAGCAACAGGTCCGAGAACTCAACTCAATTCTGATGCTATCTGCTCAGACACAGACAGCACCAGATTCCCCAGGTTAAGGGCTCCGTCCTACAAGACTGCCCTCCAGTTGGTAGCCGCAAGCCCCAGGCAACTAGTTACCTATGCATCTGACCCACAAACTGGCGGTTCCCACAACATCTTCCTTAGGTTTGATTAATTTGCTAGAGCAGCTCTCAGAACTCAGGAGAACACTTACATTTACTATTTTAATAAAGGATACCATAAAGGATACAAGTTAACAGCCAGATGAAGAGAGACACAGGGCAAGGTCCCAAATAAAGGAGCTTCTATCCTCGTAGAGCTTGGGGCCTGTTGGGGCATTCTGGTTCCCCAAGCATAGAGGTCTCCCTGACTGACAAGCAGGATCCAACCAAGCACAGCAGAGAGTGGCAAGCTCTTCTCAGGGGTTTTGTGAAGGCTTCATTGCATAGTCATGATGAACTAAATTATTGGCCATTGGCTGATTCAGCCTCCAGTCCCTGTCCTTGAGTGGGGGTCCAAAAATCTCTCATTAACATGACAAAACACCCACTTCACCTTTAAGACTGCAGTGTTTTCAGGAATTGTGGATGAAGACCAAACATACCTGGGAAATACGTATTTGGTCATATAAATGACCAAATATATATTTGTTATAACTCATTATATCACACTACCTAAGATGAACAAGCTCACCAAATAATAATTATACAAATAATGGTTCCAATGCTCAATGGAATTTACAGTCCAGATGTAAAAGTAATGTGCATATAAAAAGGTCCACAAAATCAGGCAAGAAGAGTGAATGCTTTCTGTGTGAGAAGAACTCAGTAACAAGATGCTACTTGTATGGTAGGGGAAGCAACAACTGATGGAGTCGCCTTGGGGAAAACAGGATCTGACATGGGTTTGAAGGATGGAGGTGATTTCATTGGGAGACGCCAGAGAGTGGAGCAGCCCAGGCAGCTGGAGCAGGTGTGCAGAAGCAAGGAGGTGACAGGCACGCTTGGGGAACAGAGAGAGGAGTCCAGACAGATGAGAGAATGTGTTCTGGGTGGAGAAGAGTTAGGAAATAGGGCTTGAAAGCAGCATGAAGCCAGGTTGAGGAGGATCTCAAAATTCAGGATAACATCCCTGGACTTTGGATAATGAGGCAAGAGTAAAGGTTTTTGAAGAAGGAGCTAGACCAGCACATGAGAGCTTTAGAAAGGTGAGCCTGTTGCTGTGTGCAGGCTTGATGGGAAGGGAGATGGGCCTACAGGTCTCTGCAGGGCCTTGGCCTCCAAACTTTTCTTTTTAACCTTTACGCACAACAAGAAATATATTTTACATCGTGACCTAGTTATAAATATTTTAACATCTAACCAAAAGACTAAAACCCTTGTTATGTGTGATACACTCTAATATTCTCTATTGTATTTTATTCATGTTTTACAAATGTTGCTGTCCCCAGTAGATTGATTTTTATAACAGATTCCCACAGTTCAGCTATCAGAGTTACCTAGACATAAAACTTTGGGAAGTGGTGAGGAGTTGTGAGAGTGCACGAGAATGAAGAGGAAGGAATGCTTAGGGATATGTGTCATAGGAAAAATAAAAGTTCCTTAGCAACTGGCTGGATGTGGTGGGGGAGTGGGCAGGGCTGGGTGGGTTTAGGGCACTGCTGCCCAAAGCAGGGGCCTGGAGCCAGCAGCCCAGGCATCCCTTGGGAGCTTGGTAGGCACGCAGCATCTCAGGTCTCAGCCACCAGCACAGACATCCCTTGGGACCTTGGCAGACATGCAGAATCTCAGGACTCGTGCCGTATTTACTGAATCAGAATCTGCATTTTAAGAAGATCTCCAGGTGGTTTGTATTCACATTACAACTTGAGAAGCACTAGTCTGTAGGAAAAGTTTGTGTCATATGTTACTCCAAGGTTTAAAATTGGATTCAAAGTCAAGAAAGTCAGAAAAAATCATTGCTTTTGGTGGTGAGATGATTAACTTTTTGGTATAAACTGAGCTTAAAGAAATTCAGGATATCTAAGTGGAAAACTGACTGGTAGGTGGTTGGCAATCACAGGACTGTTGAAGCTGTGAGAGACTTGAACAAATGTGCAATCAAGTCCTTTCTCTAACAGAGGAGGAAACTGGGGTTTGCAAGATTTCAGCCAGCCTTACCTTTCTCCCAGGTTCCTGTCTCCAAGCAAGGCTGTGGTTGTGGCCTTAACACTGCAGATCACACTGGCCAAGTTCCTGGATTTGCCAAGCCAGCTTGTCCAAGATTAGAGTAGAGCTCAGTCCTACAGGCACCATGATCTACTTCCTGCATACTTTCTAGCAGCTGATGCCTTTAAATAACCTAGTTCAGAAATTCTAGGAAAATTGTTTACTGTGTGGCTGTCAGAGTAAAGCTAATAGAGTATAAGGACCAATATATGTGAAGCACGTAGAGAACCTTGAATGAAAGGCACTGAACCAATAAAAACTACTGTGTCAATAGTAAAAATCTATTTCTTACAAGTCTCAAAAGAGATAGGAAGTCATTTGCAAAAGGAAATGCCAATATGATTGAAAGATAGAAATTATCTTTCCACCAAAGGAAGAGACATTTTGCAAGCAAGTTGAGAAGTGACTGGCAAGGAGGTTGTGGCCCTCACAAAACCCCTGAGAAGTCAGAGAACTTTTGAAGATGACCCTGATCAGACAGACTGTGGTTCACTCGGAAACTCACTAAGAAAAAAAAATCATATTGTTCCAAATTTAGATATTATGAAACAGTGACACTCTTATTGCTCTCTTTTTTCCCCCTGCTTTAGTATAAATACCAGCTTGACCTTTAGTCCTTGCAACCTAATCAGACTTCAACTGTGTAAGAAATTCTATACCTCCAAAATGGACAGCATAGGACTCATTCACATTCAACTATATTTATTAAACACTCTATTCCAAGTGCTGGAGGTAAGGCAGTAAAGAAGATAGAAAAAAAAATCTCTGCCCTTGTACATTATACAGTTGGTGGAGAAGAAACAAACAAATGCTAAATAAATAAATTTTTATTTAATATATTAGATGGTGATAATGGTGGTGAGGGCTGTGGGGAAAATAGAAAGGGTATGAGAGATTGGGAATACCAGTTGTGGGAGAGGTTTGCAATTTTAAATAGGGTGATGAGGGAAGGCATCAGTGAAAGTGACATTTCTTCAAAGATTTAGAGGAGGCTAGGGAATGAGCCAGGTATGTGAAGAGGCTTCAGGCAAACTATAAGCAGCACAAAGGTCCTGAGGCAGAAACACACCTTGAAAACAACAAGAAACCAGTGTGATGGGAAAGAAATTAGCTAAGGGAAGAATGGTGGGAAATGGGGTATAGGATGGAAGGATGATGGCAAGATGAGAGCAGATGGCAAGGGGTTAGAAACAAAGGGTTTGGACAGAGAGTAGGATGCTGATGAGATTCAGGGCAGGCCCCCTCCCCCAAAATATATCACTTCAGTATATTGATTATTTTGAATTAAAGTTACTGAGGAAACAGCTTGTGCAAGAAGGGCCCCCTGGCCCCCTCTGTTCACCTCTGAAAGCAGGAAGTAAATTCCCCATGTGAAGGGTTTCCTCCACCTTCACCTGCAGGGTAGAAGGCATCCTTATTGCCAGAGTTGGGGAATTCAGGGCTGAGAAGGCTGTACAAGCAAATACTGTTATTTCTTCATTAATTCGCTACTCTTGTCAACTCTTCACAAATTTATCATTGTTTTGCTTGAACAATATAAAAACTTCCAGCTTTGGTCACTTCTTCTGAGTGTCATATTTTTCTGAGCTCCTGTATATACGAAATTAAAATTTTTTTTTCCTGTTGATCTGTGTTATGTCAATGTAATTATTAGGCCAGCCATAGAACCTAGAAAGGAAGAGGGGGGAAATTTTTCCTCCCCTACAAAATAAATGAAAGGCATGCATTAATTAGCAAGTGTGTAAGGCTTCAAAACTGGCAAAGTTTTTACAATCTTTGTTCAAATTGTGTTCACTCTTACTGAGCATCAGAGGGTTATACGATTTCACATGGGCTCTCTTTACCTGTGAAATTCCTCATTTTATAGGCAAAGTCAATGAAGAACTGGCTGAGTGAGGGTCCCGCTCTGGACCACAGATCAAGGATGTCAAAGTCACTATTTAAACACAGGCCCCACCTCCCAAAGTCCTACCTCTCTGACTCCACTTCCCCATTCTGCCGCTCTCAAAATCAAATAGCCACCAACTAGCTACCTGCTGGAGACAGGTCATATCATTTCTCTGAGCCTAACTGACAAAACAGATATTTGGTGTAGAAAAAGTGTATACTCAATAATTTGTGATCATAATCAAATCACCAATATCTGTTTAATGCATTATGATAGACTCTGCAGTGACAGGTGACGAATTACGAGAAAGGGATGCCAGGTTGGACTCTAATCATGATTTTGTTAAACTTTGGGTCAGTTGTGCAGTCAGAATTTTTAAAAAATTAAATAGAGTAGAAAATAGCATTCATTTCACACAGAAGCCTAAGCATTGTTTAGTGAAACTTTTATTGTATAGATCCAGCTATATGTATATATCAATATCTATTGAACTAGGGAGAAATATGTAGATGTACTTATGTACATTCCAGTCCCAGTGTAAAATGTTTCTCTTACTCTAGGTCATCAACAAAAGTTTGGAAGCTGCTTGAGTAAGTGTAACTGCCATCTGTGCCTTCAAGTGGATGTTTTAACAAATACTTCTTTGAGTGAACATATAATTTGAGGTAGAAGATGGGGAATAGAGCAGATGGTCAAGACTGGGGTGGTAGATGTAAAAGAATGTATAAAAATACAAAAAGAAAAGAGAAAACGCCATCAAATAGTTTTCTCACTTAGTTCTACAGTCTCTGCATCCCGCTCTACCTAATCGGTACACCATCATTAAACCCACTTGACTGAGTTCCTTTAAAATGGAGAATCTACTTTATTTTCCATTGTAACTCAAGCACATAGCAGGCTATCAAGGCACATTTATTTAATAAATAGGCAATATTACATTTCCTAGGGTCTCACTGTTAGGTGATACCCAGTTAAAGTTTGAATTTTTTTTTTCAAGACTTAAAATGTTGCTGCTCCAAAGACTGGCTGCGTTTTAAGAAAACTCCTTAAAATCAAAGTCTTCAAGATAGAATTCTCTAGTCTCCAGTGTGAATGTCAGGCATCATGGGAAACAATGAGAGAAGGATTGCCTCACCTGTGGGACTCTGTAACTCCTCTTAAACCATACCACAACGGAAGACGCCTATTCATAAGGCTAGATGTGCTCCTATCCTTGACCCAGGAAGCTGAGGTACCAATCAGATCCTTCCTCTCACGGTTGTGCAGTGAGCAGGCATTGAGCACCTACTTGGTGCACACTTGTGCTTGGCACATGCACATTTTCCTAGTGAACTATGAAGCTATGTAGTCCATCATCCAGCTTCTTGAATTATTTTCAGTCCAAAGAGTTGTGTGCAAAGAAAAAGGTGGGAGAACTAAGATTTGGGCTTGCAAATCTTTGGGTCATGTAGACACACCTCCGTGTTTCTAATTAAAGCGTTCATCGGAAAATTACTTTACTTTGTTCTCCATTTTTAAATTATTTTTCATGGCTTACAGATTTTTTTCTAAATTTAAATTTCAAAAAATAGATCCTAATTTCCTAGATTATCAAGGAGAGAAGATTAAACTCAAAGAACTTTTAAAGAATTTCTTGAATAGTATTTCATTATAATATACATGGTATACAATATAGGTGATAAAATGACATTAGGAAAAATCCTATATTTAAGAGGTAACTAATACAAGTTAATGTTCTAAGGTAAATTCTGGTCTTTGGAAGAATTTTGACATCTTTATTTGTGGGAAAACTGAACAAGGACACTCTATTCTATTTCCTCTTTCCCTCCCTCCTTCCTTTATTCTCTCAATGTATGTAATAAAATATTTTCCTACCAAAGATCCATTCCAAATGGGACAAGCAATCCAGACACTCCATCCAGTGAACCAAAGCTTGTAAGAAAAGACTGGGAAAAAAGCAGCAACTCCAGAGAATACAGTAAGAGCCGCCAGAGAAGCCAGAATCTAGCCAGCAGCCTGGGAGAAGCTCCGCATTCCCCTCTAGGACTTGGGTCCTCCATCTCAAAGATATTTTGTTGCCAAAACACAAGGCTATGTCTGGCCTCAATAAACTGAGGTTTCTTAGAGACAGTAGCCATGACACATGTGGACTGTTGATCTGCTTGGAAACAAACTTCTGTTTGTTTCAACAAAGATAATAAAATGTAATGAAATAATCCTTAACACAAATTTGAGACTATAAATTCTAACTCTAGTTTACTTCAGAGAGAGAGAGAAATCACTCCTCATTTGGGGTGACTGCCTTTATTCCCTTCATTCTGTCCTGTCCTGGGGAGTGACCACTTCCTGGCTTAATCAGATCCAAGGCTTGCTGACTGAGCTAATTATTTCTCAACTCAACCTGCCTGGTGGTTCCAGCATAAAGCCAACATCCTTTGTGCACAATAGGTCCACATTCCCAGCACAATTTCCCATGAAACAAAGTAAAAATAATCACTGTGATCACTTTTCATTACATTTAATTTTAAATAATTCAAAGCAAAAACAAGATCTCTGTCCCTGGCCAAGGTTCAATTCTACTACAATTATTTTTTAATTTTTGATAAAGATTGTTGATATGGATTCATCTCCAAATAGGCATAAACTTCATTATGGAGTTCTGCATTGTTTTCACTAAACTGGCTTCACCTTAGCTGTTTTATTACTAATTCAATCACCAAGTAAAATACAAAGATGGAAATGTGTGCAATTATAAAATAAATTTTGTGGAATAAATTATTAGTTGAATAAAATGCTGATCTCTAATCATTCTTGAATTGTGACTTGGATTTTAGGTGCTGGACTTAGGTACATTTAAGCAATTGCAAAAGTTCACCTCTTAACTTCTGCTTTTGACTGATAGGACATGTTTGACTTGTTTCTTCCTAGATAATATCTTGAAGATACCATTTTCTGAACTATCCAATTAATTTCCCTATTCAATATGAAATTCATTTCTCTTTAAATAAAATGATGAGAATAGTTTTATGGGTGGAAATGTTGTGGTTTAGAACACGGATTATGGTGTCAGACAGAGCCAAGATCCTGTTTTGGTTCCGCTATCTAACAGGCATGTGTCTTTGGGCAAGGGAAAGTTACTTAACTTTCCAGGTCTGTTTCTTCATATGGAAAATGGGAATAAAATCAGTGTTCATCTCGCCAGGTGGTGACTAAGACAATTAAATGAGCCAATACATGTAAAATGTTCAGCACTAAGCTCCATATAGCAAAGTTGCTCAGTTAGTTACCTATTACTACATTGGATCCTCCATCTTTGGAGTTCTTCCAGTGTGGTATCAAGGCACAGTCATTATTGTTGTTTTTGTTTATCACCTTCCAGACATTAGGTTAGACCCTCCCTGATCAATTCGGTTTTAAAGCTCCCAGAGGATCCTCCCATGTATAGTGAGGAGAGAAGCTTCTCTCTGATTCTCTTTTTTCTTTCCATCTTTCTGTCTTTAGTAGGCATTCCACAATGACCCAGCTTTTGAAGCAGTTGCATTCCTGTATACAGAATCCAGGAACCCAGCTCAGACTTTTTGCTACAGCTGTTAATTCCCATCTTCTCTTAATACTGTGGGAGTATGGGAATATATTCTCTGATTTTTTTTTCTTTCTTTCTAATGCCACTAGATGAGTTCCACAAGGACAGAGGTCTTGCAAGTCTTTTACATCTGCAACACCTAGAGATCATGTCTAGCCCAGAGCAGATACTTAATATGCACTTGTTGAATTAATTAATTAATACATCAGGCCTCCCAGCTCCCATAGGTCTGCCCCATGTAGGTCTATGTGTGTCCACCATTGCCAATGTGTGCTAATGCTAGTGTGTTCCCTTGTTAACAGGAGAAGAGGTCTGGATTGAAGAAAGACTTGCTTGTGTTAGTATTTGGTTTGCACTGTTTTGACTTCTTCCTTTACTTTTTATCTCAAGGTTATAGCTACATGGTATGTCAATATACTGTGGGTCAGATCAGTCTCCCCTGTTTGCATGTTTGGAAAATAAAGACTGTTGAAATACTCATGTTAAACAGTACAAAGATGGCAAACAAAGAATATTTTCTGTTTTAATTTGGTATGTGGGGGCAGGGGAGCTTTTTTAGTGTTTGTAACACTGACAGGCTAACCCTGACACTGCCAGTGTGACTTGTAAACCTGAATTTATTAGTGATTAAGAGTTGTTGCCACTTCATATAACACAGAGAAGGCACCGAAGTGGAGCTCGGGATGTCTCACTGCGGGTTTTCCCGGCTGCACATTTCCACAGGAATCTTTCCACACTAACTTTATGAAAGCAAGGAGGCTTTCAGGGAAGTCAGCTAATGGGAAAGACAAAGTATAGTTCTGCTCCTGGCCGGGTTTCCTCTAAATTCAGCCACGTCTCCTGTTCCAGTCCTGCGGCCAGCAAGGCCCAGAGGGCCCCTGCTCAGTCCAGGACCCCTCCCTCCTGTTTGGCAGTAACATGCTGGGAGGCAGACCTACTCCAAACCTGTGGAGGTGTTGCAGTAAAGGTCTTTGCAGACTCTCCTTCCCCCGTTGCCAGGGAGATCCCACAATCTCGACTCAGGGAAGAATGGTAGAAGTTTAACCTAACTCTTTAATCCAGGTTTGCCACTGGAAAACAAACAAAGAAACAAGCAAGCTGATGTTTTGTTTCCAACACTCACCAATCCACCCCCTACAAAAAAAAAGAGAAAAAAACGGAATGTAACCTGGACCCCCAAAGAAGTGGGATAATGTCAGTTGAGGGAGAGAAGCTGATTTGGACATTCTCTGCCTCTTCAGAAGCATCTTTCACGTGTGAAGCCCAGGAATAGTAGCTGTGTATATGCTATGGTCTTGGGTTTTCTTAAAAAGCAGGCATCAAAGCTATAGAAAATGAAGTGCTAAACAAGAAAGGAAATTATAAGGCTTTCTTTTCCCAGCAGCTTCAGGTAACTAGCTTCATTTGTTTATACCTGAGAGAGAGAGCTCCTGTAGCAGAAAGTGGGTTAGCTTTCGCATCAGAAAGACCTGGGTTTGACACTGAGGAGTCCATGAGATATGTATGAAAGGAATGAAAAAATTAGAAAATTAACACTCTGCTAACCCTGGTGCTGTAACTGATTCAAGCACAATGGAAGAGGGTACCTTTACAATTGAAAATATGGCGGTCACCATCTTAACGAAGTGATCAAACTTTATAATCACCAATATGAGGATGAGCTGACATCACTGCCTCCTGATACAGTGGCAAGGAAGTGCACACCATCACCTGCATTGTGTCTGTGGCAAAAATGTTTACCCCAAGCCTAATCACAAAGAAACAATTAGAGAAATCCAGATTACAGGGACATTTCACAAAGCGCTAGCCTGGGCTCTTCAAAACTGTCCATGTCATGAAAGATCATAAAAAAATTACTGGGATAATTGGGGAAATTAAATACAGAGTTTATATTAGGTAATAGGAGTATATCACTGTTAAGTAGCTGGTTAAGTATTGGTGAAACACAGCAAGTTAGTATTCTTTATGCTTTCTTTCAGCTTTTCCGTATGTTTGAAAATTTCAAATTAAAAGGTGGGAGAACAGAAGGGAAAAAACAGGTTTAGCTTTGTTAAGTGCATAAAATGAAAGGCCTTACTTTTACTCAGGCAGACAGCCATGCTGGCTCAATAATCCTTGAAAATATTGACAAATGTAGGTGAGAGTGTCAGGAATGTTGGACAAAATCTGCCCTGCCCTTCTTCAACACCAAGACAGAACCTGTCTTCTTCGAATAAGAACAATGAAACAGGTGTGTTAGGCGATACTGTGAAGATAGCCCATTCATACAGACACAATGATGGGTATCTTTTACATACTTTTTTGTCTTTCCAAATATTCCAGTTTCTTAACTGCTTGAAAAACCTTTCCAGTGCTCATTCATCATGCACATTTCCCTCTGCTTTTAATAGCTGTTCAGCTTCAACTTTGAGTGAACCCTCTCTTCTCATAATGGCTTGGGGTTTAAGGAGAACAAAGTTCAATTTTTATCATCCCTAACTGGGAATTGTCACATTTGAAGCCTTCCAATCTACAAGATGTTTGGAACTAAATAGAGATTTGTGCATCAATTTGTACTTACCTAATTCAGATTTTATCTGCCTTTTGTACATCTGACCCTCAAATTGTTTTGAAATCATCTGGAATTTATCAGAATTTTCCCATGTTTTTGCAAAGCAAAACAACTTAAGTGTGTGACCGGCAAACTTGTACAGCTACCAGCTGCTTTGCTGTCCCAAGCCTGCAGCTGCAAGGAAATGCTCTTAGTGGCAGACTGGACCGGGCCAGACAGCCTCCCACAGGCTACTGTGGAGATTGTCTTTTGGAAAGGCTGCACCTATCTTGCTTTATCATGGAGACAGAGGAACCACAGATAGAACTGTGATTGTGACAGAACCATGATTGATTGGTGTTTTGGCCACCAAGGAGAGGGGATGAAACTAAGAAAACAGGAAGAGAGAAACAGCGGGGGTGTCTGGGGAAGAGAGGTGGAGAAAAGATGGAGAGGGAAGGACAACAAGAGAGGAGTCAGAACATAGAGGAAAACATTCCTGAGGCCAAAAACAGCTCCTTGCGTCACTCACAGATCCAAAGCCTGGGTCTGAACAGAGTTGATTCCGGGACAGAGGAGCAACGGAAGCCATGGCCGATCATGTACATTTTTTGAAAGGTGTTTGTAGGGAGAAAAAAAGGGAACTAAATAGAGGGAAAGAACAACAATAAAAAAAAAAAAACAGCATGAGAAAGAAGCTCTAAGTATCCTGAAATGTGTTCAGATTATGCTTGTTTTTAAAGTTGCTTTTAGAGACATACCCTTAAGTCCTCTTCAACAGGAAATATGCATTCATTTAGTTCCTTCTCTTGGCATTTTTGAAAAAGGAAGAATCAGATTATTCAGTGAGAAACTGAACACACTTTTTATGCAGTTATACTCGTAAAATGCAAAAGGGAGGGAGGAACGGTGAGGATGTGT